CATGGGCAAATGCTTTTTGAATCAATTAGGTAAAAATGAATTTTCCTGAGGGGCTTTTCAATTAATCACTTGAATGATTGAAATTGTTTCACCAACTCAAAAACGAATAGACTTGTTCTATGTTTTTTTCATTCAGTATTGTGATATAGGATCAAAAAGGGAGATACAGTCAAGGTCAGTGAGTATAGAATGTTGTAACAACGATCTATGTAACTCGTTAACACCAAAAACATCTGCACTAACAACAACATCGACGACCACGACAACGCCCGTATCAACAACAGGTAGATTTTTGTCCAGAAATAAATGAAGAAATTCTCTTCATGTTTTTTCTAAACTATCCGTTTACAGTAAACTTCACTTATAGCAAACACGGTTATAGCTAACATAAATATAAACGAAAAAATGTATTAGGAAATATTAAAGCGAATATTTATTTAACAATTTGTTACTAAATTAGATTTATAATATCTGTCATATCCGAACCGCAAAATATGACAGATATTATAAGTAATATACGTAAGACGTTTGCATTTAATACAAATGCATATCAAATCAAGTCAAGTCAAATGAAATGAATATAAATCCAATCAAGTAAAAACAAATCAAATATGAAGCTAAATTAAGACAAGTTAGATATTCTTTAAAAATGTGAAAAGAGATTTAAGTGCTTTATTATAAAGCCGCGCCATGACAAAACCAACATAGTGCGTTTGCGACCAGCATGGATCCAGACCAGCTTGCGCATCCGCGCAGTCTGATCAGGATCCATGCTGTTCGCTTACCAACCCTTTTACAAGTAGAGAAACTGACAGCGAACAGCATGGATCCTGATCAGACTGCGCGGATGCGTAGGCTGGTCTGGATCCTTGCTGGTCGCAAACCCATTATGTTGGTTTTGTCTCTATTATGATGAAAAATACCATTATGTTCTATTATAACACTTACCATAAACATCCATATGTACTTATTTCATGGTATGTTGGCATATTTGACACGAAATGATAAACTTTATGGTATCACACACCCTCCATTATAACTAACTCATTTTCAATGTATAACTTTTGTCAGTTAGTTTGACGAAACAAAAAAGTTTATATATATATTTCTAAACAATTGAGTATCGGTATCAAAATCGAACATCTTTGATACTGTTTAGGAGATGTATGCCTACATTCGTCTTGTAATCACGGTAAATGTGTTAAGACTTCTAATGGCGGCTTTACGTGCACGTGTTACGCTGGATATACAGGAGCTTTATGTGATAGAGGTACGAATTACAAACTTTTAACCTACCCATGTGACCAGTGTTTACAAAGATCAGCCGACACATCCGAGATATCTGATCATAGAAAGTCTGCGCTGTTCGTCGTTATCAGTTTTTTTTTTCTTTTTTTTTTTTGTATTTTTTGATAATATTATTTCATCTTATTTGTTTTATTATATTTTACTTATTATGCTTTTATTTGTTTTTGATTTATTTATATATTTATTTATTTTTATTTATTTATTTATTTATTCATTTGTTAAAGTAATCAATCCATGCAGGACAAACACATGGCACCTGCCTAAATAATGGAACAACTTACACGTGCCGATGTAACTCGGGATATACCGGATACCTTTGCGATAGGCGTAAGTAAATCGGACATGATAAAAAAAATCAAAAGCCACATCAAAGAAGTAATTTTATTAAAAAAAATAAAACAGTAGGTAAAGTATGCAAAAGAAAGTATGTTTTATTATTCATGTTAATGGCACACTAAGTTCGTGTGAAAATTTCAACTCTTTCCGCAGATTATATAGCGCAAATAACTTTAATACATTGATTAAAAATATCAAACATCACACAAATATTTTAATTCCAATACATTGTTGTCCTTCCATAATAGTATGTATAATATTATATACATATTATGTAACTTATATCGTCTCCCCACAGTGTGAAGGACTGACTGCTTGTTCTAACTAGAGCTTAATGTGATTAATACCCTGTATGCTTGATGCCCAAGACTAAAGAAGATTTTTAAAAATTGCATTCATTTTTAGGGTTTAAGCCCTACCCCTCAGGGTCATGAATTTTACGATTTTTGTTCCCCTTCACCCATAGATGCTTTATACCAAAATTGATTAAAATTTGTTCAGTGGTTCAAGAGAAAAAGCTTCAAATGTTAACGCACGACAACGGACGGAAAAGGATAGCAATAGATCACCAGAGTTTAGATGGAAGTGTTTAACTGAAAACTAATATTTAAGAGTTAAACTTTTGTCACACCATGTGTTGTAATCTTCATATAAATACTATATATAGTGATATTACGCAAGTGCAGAATGTACTTTTTTCATGTTTAATTCAAAAACAAATACATTTTGTAATTATGTCCTGTATAATTGCATTATGTTTAAAATGCAATAAGGTACGGTGTCCTGGTATGGCAAAGTACAATAGTGACAATAGTAACAGTATGACAGTATAACAGTACGAAAGTACGATGGACTATTAGAGGGATGATATATTTACTGTTACTCACAAACCAATGTGTTATTTTACTCCGAACAAAATACTGTGTTGATCTGAAATTGTCAACTAAATCTATATGTAACAAAAATAAACTGAGAGTAATAATAACTAAACTGTCCTTACCTTTTAAGTTTTAATTGTACTTGAGAAGTTTTCTTTTCTTTTATTCTTTAAGCAAGTGACGATATCTGCTTGTCATAAACAAACAATAAGCTGTGTTTTATTTAGAAAACAAAACACTAACCATTTATACGGTTATGATCTGTGAAAACTGATCCTTCTGTTTGGTTCCAGAATTTTCTTCGCGTGGTTTTTGACAAAATAATGATGATATCCTATGTCTGTCCACCATACTGTATCTGTAACGTTTCACTGATTAGAATTGTTAAACAATCTTTTGTTGCGTGCTAAAATCTTCTGCACACATAATTATTCACATTGCAATAACTTCCGTTGAAAAAGTTTGTTCACTTTTTGACTATTCAACAAAAAGATATTTAATACGCAAAAAGCACTCCAAGGTGCAAAAAACTAAGTTTTATGGATGCGTAGTTACTCCAGAGAAGAAGGTGATTTCATATCGTGATGAACGTCGAAAATAGAAATGAATCGAGAGAAAAAAAATGGCGGCCATTTTATTTCACTTTATTTAGAAAGAGACCACGTGACCAGATTGTACGCTGTTAAAAATACTGTTACCTATGTGACAGTTCAAAATTCTTAGTCCCGTGGTACACTTACTTTAACAGTAGGAATAACTCCCAGTGGCCTATGGGAAATTAACATTACGAAAAAAATGAGGGGTAATAAAAAGATTTATCACATACCATTTTCGCTTTTACGACTCCGTGAAAATGGTGCGCATACACGCAATCTGATCAAGATCCATGCTGTTCACTTACAAACCATATAACAAGTAGAGAAACTGATAGAAAACATCACAGATCCTAATTAGTCTGCGCGGATGCGCAGTCTGGTATGGATCCATGATGGTCACAAACGCACTTTGTTAGTTTTGTCATGACGCGGCGCATTTATTGAACTCGTTCAATAAAATAATAATATGCTCGCCAGAGGCTCGCATAATATAATTTTATTCAACTCGTTCAATAAATTGAGTATTAAACTTACACTCAATCAATATCATCTATATAAGCAACCATAAACTACCAGTACTTGTAATAAAATGACCAATTGAAATAAATTACTGTAAATTTTGTTTGGTTTTATTGAGGTTTTTGTTGTTGTTTTTTTGTTGTTTTTTTGGTGGCCTGAAGTAGCTATGTCGAGATTGTTTTGCATTGCATTGAATTGTATTGTATTGTACTGCATTGTATTGTAACATTGCATTGCACTTTTTGTATTGTATTACATTGCATTATTGCATTACAATGCACTTTTACATTGCATTGTATTGTAATGTATTGTGAAATTGCATTGCATTGTATTGTAATACATGGGAGTGCATTGTATTGTAACATTGCTGAATTACATTGCATTAAAATGCATTTTACTGTATTGTATTGTAACATTGCATTGACTTGTATTGTATTATATTGCATTACATTGCATTGTTATGTTTTGTATTGTATTGTATTGCATTGCTAACCACTGCTCTGCACTGCTGTGTACTGTACTGTATTGTATTGTATTGTATTGTATTGTATTTAGGTGATCCATGCTCTTTGAGACCGTGTGCGCATGGAACTTGTAGTTCAACAGCGACTGGTGGATTTACTTGTACGTGTTTATCGGGATTTTCAGGATTTTTGTGTGACACCCGTAAGTATTCCAGATACTTTTTATGTATGATCAGAATTTGCAGAATATCTTGTACACAGTTTGGTGTCATATTTTGCATACAACTTGCCACCTCAGTTTTAAATATTTTTTGAAATGTATCTATAGTTTCGAGTTCATTACGAGTTGATTATCTTCTATATTTTATACCACCCACTAGCATTAGGACCGTGCACATCTAACCCGTGCATTCACGGAACATGCGTCGAAAAAGGACACACATACGAATGTCATTGTAGCCATGGATATGAAGGTCAAAAATGTGATAAAGGTATGTCAATATTGGTTAAAACAATGTTATTATTGTTTGTCAATGTGGGTTCAAACAATATAATTTCTTTGCTACCCAGTATAGAAACATATAGTCGTTAATTAGGTGATTAAATTTTTAAGATATAACTCGAGCATTATCTGTATAATAATGAATTATTTTTAAATGAGCCGCGTCACGACAAAACCAACATAGAGCGTTTGCGACCAGCATGGATCCAGACCAGCCTGCGCATCCGCGAAGTCTGATCAGGATCCATGCTGTTCGCTATCAGTTTCTCTACTTGTAATAGAGTTGGTAAGCGAACAGCATGGATCCTGATCAGACTGCGCGGATGCGCAGGCTGTTCTGGATCCATGCTTGTCGCAAACCCATTATGTTGGTTTTGTCGTGACGCGGCTCAAATATTTTACTAAAGATTGTAGGCGAGATGTGGTTATCATGGTGGACCAGTCAATTCCATTGTCCTATCTTCATGACCACCCAGTCACAAACTTTCTCGTAAATTTGGTTAGCAACATGCATAATGTTGGTACTAATGGAATACAAGTTGCCATGGCAGCATATGATTCCAGCGTTCATAGCATTTGGGAGCTAAATACGTAAGTTATGTTCAAAATTTTCAGAAGTCAATGTTGCTCTGACTTTTACGATTTGAATTATAATTTGGGTGCATGGAAAAATGCGTAAGTCATGCAACTTACTGTAACTGTAGCGTTACATTTCCTAAATGATTTCATTTAAAAGAAAACAAATGCTTTAAACAATATTAAGATTATCTGTATCTTACAAATAGCTGTTTTCTTTATATAAATCATTAGAGTTTTTAACAAGTTGCTTAAGATGCTCTATTGCCATAACATTTTGAAGTTGTAAATATTTTATTTCATACATTTGCCTGAAAGCAAGGTCTTCTTTCGCTGAAATAAGTTTGTATAAGAAATGGATAACTTATTTCTTAAGATAAGACATCATACTGTGCTAATTTTAGCTCCTTTTCTACCGAACATATATTAATTATTATGATGAACATTATAATGCCTATAGTCATAAAAGTTCCATTTCAGTTAATTAAATGTTTCCACACTGGACTATTTTCAGTTACAAAGACAAATACATGCTGGCAACTAACATTGGCGTCTTGAACCTTCACCAAATCAACACTTCTCCTGACATTTCTATTGCTCTTAATTATTTAATTCAAAAGTACAACAACGTAAAGCAGGTAACGGGGACAACCGGTGAACGCCCTGATGTACCGGATGTAGCTGTAATTATCACCGGAAGTACATCTGACCGCGGACAGCATTCTCCGAATTCTGTTCGTTATTTGTTGGCGCAGTTGAATAGCTTTAATAACGTTTCAACCATCTTGGTAGGTGTAGCCAATGTAGATCGTAGAGTAGCGCAGGGCATTGGTCACTCGTTGTATGTTAATCAGGTTTCAGACCTCAGTGCTAACTCTTTCTATAAAAATGTATTGGATCTAATATGCTGATAAAGAAGATTATCATCAAATCAAAATGAAAATAAAGAATAACATATTTTTTATTATTGTTTTTTTATTTTTATTATTTATTATTTTTTGTCTTTTTTGCTTTGCTTTATGTATAACTCCTTTGAAGCCACTGGGTCATGTGTGCTGAAATTTGTAATTTTACATATTTTGTGTAAAATGTAAAGTCCATTGCATACTAGTAACCTTTTAGTGTGTTTTTTTTCTCGGTGGTCGATCGGCCTAACCAGCATTCACGGATAACTCACCTGATATTTCCAAGTACTCCGTGACCGTGAATTACAAGTGACCTACTACTTATCTCAAGTTACATTTGAATCAGTGGTGAGAGCCTAGCTTGAGGATTGAACCAGCTACCCCTGGAGCACGAACAGGCTCAATCAAACCTGCTATATTTTCAACTTTTCCACGTTCTTCAGGGATTCTGTTTTTTTTCTTTTTTACTAATACGACGCTCTCGCTATTTAATTAAGCGGGCAGCCGTCGGGTAAATAGCAACAAATATCATTGATAATTGATGATATGAAAACTGGGGAGATATCTGACATAATCATAATAACTGATCTTGTTATAAGTTACATTTTTTACTAAACCCAGCAAAAGGAAAAAGCGTTTACACGAAATTAGTTTCATATTTAACCCCCCAGCTTTTAAAACTCATTTAATACTAAACTTTTACATAAAACTTCGTTAGTTAATAATAAAAAGCATGTCGAGGAAGTAACCTCGACAGTCAAAAATTTTCACAAGGGATCATGGAGTATAGTAATGCTTACCTAAATGAAAACATAAAAATTTTCCGAAAAGGGACAAACCCTTCATAACTTTGGAATACCAGCTTCAACAAAACTTAACCAAGAAATTCTAGTCGAAAGAGGGATAATTTTTAAAAAAAATAAATAGGTTTGGACTTTCCCAAAATCTAAGGGTTATTACAGACAACAAGAGTGTGAAGTTTCATTCATTCCCTGCAGTAGTTATGAAAATACCAGCTTACACGCAAAAACTTGACCAAGAATTTCTAAGTCAAAAAAGGGGCATAATTTTGCAAAAAAGCAAATCAGAGTAATTGGACTTGTGCCAATCATCTTAGATAATCACAGAAAACAAGACATAGTGTGTGAAGTTTCAATCCACTTCAGTAGTTATTGAGATACTAGCTTACACGCAAAAACTTAACCACAGGGACGCCGACGCCGACAAATGGGTGACTGCATTAGCTCAATCATTCTGCGAATAGTCAAGCTAAAAACTGTTGTTAGTAAACAAAATAAGGCATACATTGTGTGATAAATGACAGCAGTTATCATTTGAACTCGTCTTCAAAATTACAGTCATTTAAAAAGTAGAGGAAGCATCACGTATTCTGCTTTGATCTAAAGATAGAATGTTGTCTGTGCCAAACAAAACTGATTTTACACATGAAATAAAGACATGGCAGACCGTTTCAGTATCGAACCTTTCGGGTAACATAACATCTCCCTCAAGAGTAACGAAAACTGTAGCAGGACACGTCCGCAACTGTTGAAAAATATATACCTGAAACTGTAGTGAAACTATCGTAAAAAAAGAAACCAGCAAAAAACTACCATAACATCGACAAAACATTTTTATATCTGCTAACTAACTTTGGCGAAACACAACGAGGGTGATCTAGATCACGACCAAAATCTTATCGAAGCACTTTTTAAAGGTTTACGAGCCACTTCCTTTTTTTTCAAAACTTTTTTCGATAATATACGTAATACGTATAGCTTTCTTTTGTGTAAAAAACCGTCTAAGTCGACAAAGAACGCTAAATTCTTTTTATTAAAAAGTGCTTGAATTTAAAAATAAGTAAAGGTGATGCTAGAAAAAGAGAGAAAAATAGATTAGTAAAACAATGTTATGGGACTAAGTGGGTTAATGGTTAAGGCTGTTAACTTCAAAACACTTGACTCTCATCGCTATGTGTTAGACTTTGAATCAAGTTATCAAGCCAGCTACCAGAATATCGGTGGTTCGACTTTGGTGACCACTCGTGCCTGAATTAATACATGTACGGGCACCTGAGATGTTCCTTAACAGTCGCCATGAATGATATGATTAAAATGTGATATTTATAAGTTCAACCAGTTTTCGAGCTAGTTTCAGCCGGTATGTCTTCGTATAGCACATTTATCTTTAAAGTTGTAAGGTTAAGTAATAGTACCTGTTCTAATTTCAAACTAATCTATTCAAACTGTTTAACAATTCAACAAAGCCGTCTGAAGGACAAGTTGAAACTGGTTAAAGATGGCAAAACGCGGTAAATATGTTTCATTTAAACTGCATATGAGAATAATGGTTGTAATCTGGTACAATTAATGTGTGAAGAATAACATTTAAAAATTGTCAATCTTAAGCATATTTAGAAACTATTTAGATATTTAGTTATGAAGTTATTATGAATAATTAAATTACAAATATGTTTTTTATTTATCTCTAGTTTATATAGAATTTATTTTAGTCAGATTGTGTTGGAAGCGTTACGATCCTTGGGACGCTTTTGAATCAATACAATACTTGTAACAAACCAGTACTGAACAAGGAGTGTGAAATTTCTTGCTCAAATTAAAAAAACGGCTTGTCCCAGACGGGGCTTGAACCTACTCGGCCAGCAGCCCTTAGATTACGAGTCTCTAGCTTTTAGTTGCCTCTTCACAGCAGCCCACCCCTATATTCCTACCCGTTTATATATGACAATTTGAAGAGAGTTTTTAAAAAGGAAACTTATTATAGGGATAAACCATTAGGGCTTTTACGATTTGAATAAATTATTTAAAATGTGTCAAAATATGCAATGATAAAGAAATAAAAAATAATTTTCTCCACACAGGACTGCTCCAGAGACTTGAAAATGGAGGCAACATCATTGTCGCGGAAGGATACATTTTCGAATTTGAGAGAAAAGGCTACCTTCAAGCGGGTACATTTGTACCATTAGTGACCTTAGAACATCCGGAACTTGTCCGGCTTATGTATGAAGAGTTTGTGCATGCCGGAAGTGACGTAGTACTTGCGTTTACGGTATTTTGATAGCTTGTGTAACCTTAAATAGACATGATTAAGGCTAGTCTAGAAATAAATATTTTTTGTAAATTTCCGAGCCAATTTTGTATGATATCAATACTATTTCATAACATCTTAATCGTTATAAAAAAAAAGAATTCGTTTTTCTGTAAAATAAAACTATTTTAGAAAAGTATGTATGATTACCGTGAATACAGTAAATAATTAGAAGTTCAGAACCCACTTTAAAACTGTCTATCATATCAAAATTTACCAAAAATATTATTTCAATAATAAAGCTATACAAGTGCTAATATGCCTTTCACATAAATTGTTATTTTAGTACTATGCACATAGAGAAAAGCTTCGTCTTGTTGACCGAGAAAAAGACTTGGTAAAGATTAACAGCGAAGCCCTAAAAATGGCGCGTGAAGTCGCAGACGAACATGATTGTCTAATGGCGGGAAACATTTGTAATAGTGCAGTATATCTTCCCGATAATGAGGAAGCTCGGCAGACGACCAAGGCCATGTTTAAGGTAATGTATTAGATTGTCTGACACGTGCTAGAACAAACTCCTCGCAGCGGTTACTTCCCCTGATCTGTACAGTAACCACTGCCACCACAAGTAAATTCGGTCGAATATAGCCGGATATATTTTTTTCACTTTTAATTTTAAAAAAGAATACTTTATATCATTTTAGTTTTCTTTCGTTAAATAGTTATGCTTAATGTACAAGAAAGTAAAAAAATATACGTTTAAAAATTATTTTGTAAACATAACGAAAGATATTTTCACTGTGACACCGTATGCATAGTAAACAATGGCAGAATATAAACAGTTATTGAACGATTGCACAAAAAGATTTGATCCGGCACTAGTTTTAAATTGTGTGTCTTGAACTTATTTTGTCTGGTAAGGATGTAATTATAAATCTGCCAGTTCGATATGGGATCCTTGGCGTTCTGAAACTGGCCGCCATGTTTTTGTCACATGATACAACTATCATCACGTGATTTCAGTGGTGGCAGTGGTTAAAGTAGCAAAGCGTGACGTAACCGCTGTGAGGAGTTTGGTGCTAGAATGCGAAGGACAACTTTGGGGAAGTTATCCGTCTTGCCCGGAACTACTTTCCGCGCGTAGCTATACATTTGATTTCCGACTTTAAAATCATGCTAGCTTTCAGAAAGCCGATGGTTTTACATAAGAATTCATAAACAGTAAAAAATAGAATGTACTTTGGCTTTTCAAACAGTTCGTTATTAATTATGTATTGAATATTCTATAATCTCATATTGTAATAGTATTTAAATTATGCCCTGTAGAATACAATAATTGTACGTTGCATCTTCCAGGAGCAAATCGAGCTGGCGGTTAAATATGGAGCAGATTACATAGTGGCTGAAACATTTGCTCATTTAGGCGAGGCCATGCTTGCATTAGAGTGTATAAAGAAATACGGAGCAGGTCAGTAAAGTACAAACAATTCGTGTTATATTCTCGCGCGACAATATTCAATTTCAAATTGAAGTAGACAATAAAATAACTTTATTTTCATCAATGCCATGCAAAATCATGTAATACAACCGCCGCCCTGCCTCAAATTTAGATGTTCACCATTCTTATTAAAGGGATTTCAATATCAAAATCAAACAACTTGGCTTTAAATATTTACAAAGCGGTTATGTTTGAAAAAAAAAACTTTTCTTTTTTCCTTCATTTTGTCTTGGATTTACGTCTTGGCGTCGCATCAACACAGTAGAGGTCGTATGGAGACTTTTCAGCTTGGCTAAACTAAATAATGACCAAAATTGTTAGAAATTAACAAAAATGAATGTTTTCTTTTGTAAAATTTGTGATTTTCGAACATGTCCATTATTTAAATTTAATTTTAAAAGTATTATTTTACAACAAATCTTATCGACAATTGTGCTATAAAAGGGAATTGACGGAATACAACTTGCAATAGTAGCACAACTTTTAAAGAACTTTGTATTTACCACTTTTTTCCTTATATTCGACCAATCTTGTTTCCATGATGTTAATCATATCCTGTCACGTGATTCCGTTAGTCACTGGTGGTTGTATATTCTGATACAAAACAATTGTGAGACCAATAAAAACCTTTATTTTTTCTAGGTTTACCAGCGGTAATTACAATGTCACCTTCGGCATCCGGTAAGTTTATGGAAGGAACTGGAGCTGCAGAGGCTTGTAAACAACTGGAGGACGCCGGTGCCGCGGTCGTAGGTTTAAACTGTGGTAGAGGACCAGAAACAATGATACCTCTGATGCAAGAAATAAGGCAACTCTGTAAAGTATGTAAAAACAGCTCGTGCAAATATTTTTTTATAAATTGTGCATTGTGCTCAAAATTTAAATAATGAAACCAAAACCAGGTGCGCGTGACGTAAACTTCCTGTTGCGGTGTTTTCGAACAAAATAGTAAAAGCGACTCCACTAATTTTAATTCAGTACATATAATAACGTAACTTATTAACATATAAATAGTGATATAGTGATAATTACGTCATCAATCTTGAAATGACTTATTTATCTAAATTATTTATAGTATAATAACTTTTTATTTCCTGTATATTGCGTGCGTAGTTTCCAGTCAAAAAGTTTCTTTATACAGCAAGCAATAAAATGTGTGCAATCGAGTAGCTCCAGAACGCAATTTCAAGTGAATAGTATATGGAAATATATCCCTTTGAAATTTATTTCAAATTCATTTCCATAAGCAGAACTTAGTAATAAAAGACAAATTTTCAACAAACAATTTATTGTCTTAACATCTATCTTATTTCACTCACTTATTTCGCCTTTAAATATACATTATCCAGGGCCCTATTGCTGCGTTACCAGTAACATACCGGACAACACCAGAGGAACCAACTTTCTTTTCATTAACTATTCCGGGAACCAGTGAGTTATTTGTTGTCAAAAAGGGTCAGGTATAGAGTCGAGTATATTCTTCAGACACAAGACTTAATCTACAAATCACAGATTCTTATAGATTCTAGTTCAGCTTATTCAAATGATGTCAAATGGTTATTATTTACGTACATGTAAAATGTACGAATTATATTTATCAATCATTTTTGACATAAATGTACGAATAAGATTGTTGGTAGTAAGTTCCGTTTTTTTCAAGTCCAGACGTTTGAAAAAAATTCTGTTTTGTACTTTACAGAAAAACGGGCGTTTCCGCTAGACCTGTGCGCATGTATCTGCAGCCGTCAGCAGATTGCGGAGTTCGCCGAGCAATGTAAAGAAATTGGCGTGCAGTACGTTGGTCTGTGCTGCGGAAATTCAGCGAACATGACCCGCATTGTTGCCGAGGTGTATGGTCGTACCCCACCTGCTAGCAAGTATTCCCCGGCTATGGAGAAACATTATATCTTTGGCGACAAAACCAAGTTTAAAAGTGGATTTACTGAAGATTTAAGAACGCAGGTTGGGGGACAATTCGATTGAATTAACTAGCGAATTAACTTTCACTACGTTTTTCATGAACGTATTTTTCAAAATAAACATTTGCATTTTCGCTTGGACATGTAACACTAACATTATAAAGGTTAATGTATTATGTTTTCTGGCTTGATGTTTTTGTGTGCATTTATTAATTTATTAAATCTTACAATTATCATGAATTGTTGTGTTTTATTGTTATGCTGTGCTGCTGCTGCTGCTGCTGCTGCTGCTGTTGTTGTTGTTGTTGTTGTTGTTGTTGTTGTTGTTGTTGTTGTTGTTGTTGTTGTTGTTGTTGTTGTTGTTGTTGTTGTTGTTGTTGTTGTTGTTGTTGTTGTTTAAAGGCCCAGTATGCCTCAGATATGGTATCAGTTTTATTTCTCTCATTTTTTTTTCATATATATATCTTGGTACAGATTTTAAAAAAACTCATTAGCCATATTCATTTGCACTCTCTCCTGCTACGTTTGTTCTGATGGTAATTGGTATAACTAGAGTGAATTAGTTTGGAAGTCAAATTATTATTTGTTTACATTTCGCTACTTTTACGCAAAAATACTGCGCGTTCAGCGTTACTTTCTTCAGTTGTTAAACATTTAACCTGTTAAAACATTATTAAACACATATCAGTCATTTCTAAAGAACTATTTGAGCCGCTTCACGACAAAATCAACGTTATGTGTTTGCGACCAGCATGGATCCAGACCAGCCTGCGAATCCGCGCAGTCTAGTCAGGATCCACGCTGTTCGCTTACCAACTCTAATACAAGTGAAGAAACTGACAGCGAACAGCATGGATCCTATTCAGATTGCGCGGAAGCGCAGGCTGGTTTGGATCCATGCTGGTCGCAAACCTGGCACTATGTTGGTTTTTTCCTGATGCGGCTCATTTAAGAAATATTCGTTTCTGAGGCATGTGCCTTTAAACGTTACTTCTTAGTAAACGTATAAACTCTGGGAATGTTTTGTCCCAGATAAACTATAACAAAATAAATATCAAACTTTCTGTCGATGTATGCATGTTTACATGTACATGTATATTCTCACAGATAGTTATTACTGGTCATGTCACTGGTGCAAACAACTTTAAATAGACATTTATATTTTATGTCTATTTTACTACTACATAGTTTAATAAATTAATAATTATTGTGTGCGTTTAAAACATGTATGTCATGATAGTGCAAATAATGAGCATACGAATTTCCATAAATATATACAATTCTTTGGTTATTTTATTGCACCGTCACGACATTCCTGTATATAGATAATAATCCTGTATGTATTCACACTGCACTGAGTGAGACAGTCTGTAAAAATAACTGACGATTGTCGTCTACAAAAAAGGGTGCACGTCGTACGCGAAGGTTAGACACATTAGTACATGTGTACGATGGGTGTTCAAATATGGCCAATATCTCGTTTTCAACCACGTTTTGCACAAATTATGTACATGTTTCGCATAGATAGTTGTGTAAGCTAGCATTTACAATACCTATGTATGCTCGGTTAAAGGTCCATTTTAATTGGCTGTAATAAGTCGTGGCCACAAGATAATAAGTCGTGGCACGAAAAAATAAGTCGTGGGCACAAGATAATATATTGAGGCCACAAGAAAATATGTCGTGGCCACAAGATGATACGTCGTGGCCATGAGATAAAATAAAACTGCAAATGTCACCTCTATGTCACCGTTATAATAACTATTAAACGTTCCCCTTATTCACCACCGCAGCGTTTGACCCGCCGTCCCTGTGAAAGCTATGACCAGTGTGATATTAACTTTTGTTCAAGATGAACGACCATTGTCATTGGCTTAAATAAGTCGTTGCCACAAGATAAAACTCGTGGTCACGAAAAAATAAGTCGTGGCTACAAGATAATAACTCGTGGCCACAAGATAATATGTCGTGGCCACAAGAGAATAACTCATGAGCATGAGATAATAGGTCGTGGCCTCAAGATAATAGGTCGTGGCCACAAGATTAAACTCGTGGTCACGAAATAATAAGTCGTGACGACAAGATAATAACTCATGGCCACGAGATAATAAGTCGTGGCCACGAGATAATAAGTCGTGGCCACAAGATAATATGTTGAGGCCACGAGATAATAAGTCGTGGCCTCAAGATAATAGGTCTTGGCCACGAGATAATAAGTCGAGGCCACAAGATAATAACTCGTGGCCACGAGATAATATATTGAAGCCACAAGATAATTAGTCGTGGCCACGAGGTAATAAGTCGAGGCCACAAGATAATAAGTCGTGGCCACGAAATAATATAAAACGGCAAATGTCACCTCTATGCCACCGTACGTATGCTAGCAAATTAATATCAACTTACTGAAGTTACAGATGTAATATTATGCAAAAGGCGTTATGTCTTGAAAAAGGAGTGAATTATGCGTTGCTAAACTTAAGATACATATGGTATTGTATGCACGTAACTGACAGACACAACAGATCAAGCACAATTGCATGAATATAGAAAAATGAATTTGCTCTATTTATAGTGCAATTTGGTCGTAGTGAATCATAACATTTTGTATTGTAACTGCGTGTTGTTAAAAAGCTTTTTTCGATGCGCATATCGCATTAATAACTTTTCTATCTTGAGAAAATATTAGAAATGATAGTTTAACGTCTCAATTCAGACTAAAAGGGCGCAAAGAATAGAGGAATTGATAAAAGATTGACCTTGATTTTCTGTCAGAATGTTAGCCACTTTCATGATATTTCTGCAATCGGCGGCAGCATTTAAACAACGGCAGCGTTTTTCTTCGACCGGACCAGATCGAACGTCTGTAAAACTTTCAAGAAAAGACTCACGGGGTAGAAATTTGGCTTGCGTGACCCATAATGGATGAACGTCTATTTTAATAACACAAAATCCTGCCATTTAGTTAAAACTTGAGATTTTTTTAACAAAAACCAGACATTTTCACAGATTTTTCCGAAGCTGTCACTTTTAACCTGCTCAAAATAGTCTAAAAACAGGAAAAACGAGTCCAAAATTGCCTAATAGTATCTCCAGTTAATGGACAATAGTTTCATAGCAATTAAATGGGCCGTATCTGTGTATTATAATAATACCAACCAAAATTATAACCTACCTGTACCAAGCGGTAATTTCAGCTCTCTGCCATCTGCCATCACTGACGCCGGTAATACTAGTACTAATTATTCAGAAGATATTAAATCTTTGCAAATAAATTATAATTAAACTCTCTTTGCTAAAGTCGGTCAGCTGTGTACGCAGGTCATTGCACCAATGAAACAAAATCGTGAAATTCACACACCGAGATATTCACACTCCTACCATAAGTTACAGGAGACCTACTTCTCAGAGGGGTTTGACGCCCTAGACAAGTACTATGGAGATGGTAGAGAACATGATATAAAGTTCAAACAATGTTCACTTAAAGGCACATTATGTCTCTGACACGGATAAGTGTTTTCTTGTTTCGAAAGGGAAAACATGTTTGAATAATAGTGTAGAATATGTTAGATGATTGTTACTTTAAAAACTAGCGCTAAATGTTAACATATTTGTCACATAAATAGTGAAATGTAAACGAATTATTATTTTGACTTCCATACAAAGTACTATAAATCATAAAACTGTACATATTACCAAAAAGCAACAGAACAAAGGCGTAATTTAAGTAATTGGCCAATAAATAACTTTTTGGAAACTATAAAAGTACAACAAAAACTGCTTGAGAAATAAAATAAACGCATTATAAAATAAACATATTTTGGGCCTTTAATATCTAAGTGATGGATAAAACTTTATTGATAAGATCACGTTTTTCCTTCAAGGTCATCGCAAAAAGTGTTGCCCTATAACCAATGATAACGCTTTCACAGAGACATTGTCAGTTTAAAGAAACAAACAATGGCACAAAACGGTAACGAAAATTTTGCAATTAATACCATAAACTGTTTATAATGGTGTATGATACAATGCTATAGTATTTTGAAGCACTTTTTAAAGTGGATTTGAATAAATTTTATATTTGTGTGAAAACGATGCAATAAGTGTTCTTTAAAGTGATGGATGCACTTATTTTGACGCTGTGCGACAATAAACAGTTCTAGCAAGACTATAAAAACTGTTAATTGATGTCTCTTTAGCTAGTTTTACTTTTGTTAGTTATTATTTCGTTAGTGTGAGAATGATTTAATGTGAAAACTTTATAGTGGTGCGAGAGCTATTCAGGGAGTGATGTTTATAATGGTGCGAAAAGTATGCTGGGATGGATGTTTATAGAAGTGCAAGAGGTATACAGTGAGTAATGTTTATAACGGTGCAGAGATTATGCAGGGATGGATGTTTATAGTGGTGCGTGAGGTTTGCTGGGATAGATGTTCATAGTGGTGCGAGCGGTATGCAGGGAGTGATGTTTAAAGTTGTGCAGAATGTATGCAGGGAGGGATGTTCATAGTGATGTGAGCGGTATGCAGGGAGTTATGTTAATAGTGGTGCAGAATATATGCAGGGAAGGATGTTTATTGTGGTGCAAGAGTTATGCAGGGATGGATGTTCATAGTGGTGCGAGAGGTATGCAGGGAGGGATGTTTATAGTGGTGCGAGAGGTATGCAGGGAGGGATGTTTATTGTGGCGCGAGAGGTTTGCTGGGATGGATGTTCATAGTGGTGCGAGAGGTATGCAGGGACGGATGTTTATAGTGGTGCGAGAGGTTTGCTGGGATGCATGTTCATAGTGGTGCGAGAGGTATGCAGGGAGGGATGTTTTTGCGAGAGGTATGCAGTGTGGGATGTTTATTGTGGCGCGAGAGGTATGCAGGGATGGATGTTCATTGTGGTGCGAGAGGTATGCAGGGAGGGATGTTTATAGTGGTGCGAGAGGTATGCAGGGAGGGAATGTTAATAGTGGTGCGAGAGGTATGCAGGGATGAATGTTCATTGTGGTGCGAGAGGTATGCAGGGATGATTGTTCATAGTGGTGCGAGAGGTATGCAGGGAGGGAATGTTTATTGTGGTGCGAGAGGTATGCAGCGATGGATGTTTATTGTGATGCGAGAGGTTTGCTGGGATGGATGTCCATAGTGGTGCGAGAGGTATGCAGGGAGGGATGTTTATAGTGGTGCGAGCGGTATGCAGGGAGGAATGTTCATTGTGGTGCGAGATGTATGCAGGGAGGGAATGTTTATAGTTGTGCGAGAGGTATGCAGGGAGGGAATGTTTATAGTGATGCGAGATGTATGCAGGGATGAATGTTCATTGTGGTGCGAGAGGTATGCATGGATGAATGTTCATAGTGGTGCGAGAGGTTTGCTGGGATGGATGTTTATAGTGGTGCGAGAGGTATGCAGGGAGGGATGTTTATTGTGGTGCGAGAGGTTTGCTTGGATGGATGTTCATAGTGGTGCTAGAGGTATGCAGGGAGGGATGTTTATAGTGTGCGAGAGGTATGCAGGAATGCAAGTTTATTGTGGTGCGAGAGATATGCAGGGAGGGATGTTTATAGTGGTATGAGAGGTATGATTATTAAATAAATAAAATATTATATTCGTGCAGATTTCATTATAAATCTAATGAACTAGTTCAATAAAACAATATTATGCTCGCCAAAGGCTTACATTATATGATTTTATTCCACTCTTTGCGTAAATTTAGTATTAAATCTACTGTATACTTACTTATTCAATATCCTCTATATATTCGTTTTAATAGGCCTACATGCCTAAGTCATTGTACCGCATAATTTTCAAAATATACAACAAAAATGAATTAAATAAATAATTAAAAAAGACAATGAAATTAAAACTGCAGGGCATGCATTTAATGCCACTGTTTTGTATTTAGAATAACTAGTTACATTCTTATTTTCGTAAAATTGTTTTTGATTACAGGTTTACTTAAGCGGTTAGAAAATGGCGGAAATGTTGTCGTCGCGGAAGGATACATTTTTGAATTTGAGAGAAAAGGTTACTTGCAAGCAGGAACATTTGTTCCGGTTGTGACTTTAGAGCATCCGGAACTTGTTCGTCTGATGTATGAAGAATTTGTTCATGCCGGAAGTGACGTAGTATTAGCGTTTACGGTATGGTTTCTTGTTTTTGTCAATGTAGGAATTGACTTAAAATACCGGGTAGGGTTACTGGAGATTAGCGCCGCTTTACTTTTTTGCCCCAGCATAGGCATATAACACGACTAGAGCATGATTATGCACTATGTGTAAAATACAAATGGACTACAATAACCCTTCCGGGAGGCTATGTTACCAACCCTTAAAAATATTTGTAAACAATTCATTCTTTGGTCTTATATGATGTGATACGATTACTTTTGAATAGTCAATGCGTAATTTTATTTGCAGTACTATGCACACAGAGAAAAACTCCGTCTTATAAATCGGGAGGGCGATTTGGAGAAAATGAATATAGCTGCCCTTAAAATGGCTCGTGAAGTGGCAGACAAACATGGATGTCTGATGGCGGGAAATATTTGTAACAGTTCTGTTTATCTACCAGACGACAAGGAGTCACATAAAATCACGGAAGCAATGTTCAAAGTACGTGAAGTAGAAAAAAAAAAAAAATGAAATGTACATGTTTTTAGCTCACCAGAACCGAATGTTCAGGGTGAGCTTTTAGTATCAAAGGGGGATTGTCCGGCGTCCGTCGTCCGTCGTCATGCGTCAACAATCATCTTCTTCTCTGAAACTGCAGGGCCGATTTATCTCAAATTTTGTTTGTAGCATCCTTGTGACAGTCACACTTAAATTTGCTAAAGGGTCAACAAAGCTAAAAATAGAAAAACCTTTAAACTTGTTCTACTAGATTAGATGATGGATCATCAATTTAGCTAAAGCTAAAAATAGAAAAAAAACTTAGATCGTCTTCTTCTACTGAACTAATGGATGGATGAAACTTTGTCTGTAGCATTCTTATGTAGCCTTTATCAAGTTTCTCATATTAACTTGATTGGCCTCTTTTAGTAGCCGTTATAGCTAAAAATAGAAAAACCTTAAAGCATTTATTATTAATGAACTTATTGATGAATGATCTGTAGCATTCTTAGATAGTCTTTTATCAAATTTGCTCATATTAAAGCTAAAATGCCTTAGGCCATGGCATTTCTTCAAACCATAGTTTAATGAAATAGAACAACTCATGTTGGAATGTCTCTATATATATGTGAACATGTTGTTGAGTAATGACCTGTTGCTGATGAAATTATTTGATGTTATGGCCTCTGGCAAGAAATATGATATTTATGAAATAATTTAAGCACATTATAAGGACATAATGATAAACAAAACCCTGTAATATTAAATACTTTATAATGATGATTTTAAATCGTAAATGTTTTCATTTTCAAAAAAGGTAATACTTAATTGGAAAGATAGTATCCAGCTATGTAAAACAGTAAATGCTAATTTTTTTGTCAAGTAAGAATACTTTTACTATTGGACTATGTGATTTGTATCTGAACAGTAAACATATCTGCATTTGTACTAAGACCCTGACCCCAAAACTTTGTATAGGACAAAAATATTTCTGGTACTTTAATTTAGTTTTTTGTCATAGCATTTTTGTCACAAATGCAATCTTGTTAAAGCGTATAAAGCTATGTTGAACATCAATATTCACAAAAACGAATTCGTCACACGTGTGAAAAAATTCGCTCGGATTCCTCACACGTGTGTGTCAAGTTCGTACCCCAAGATCACCAAGTAAGATTGCTGGTAGATTGTTATCCCCGCCGATAAAATCGGGATGTTTTTGCGTTGTTCGTGTGTGCGTCCATCGGTGCGTCCCAGTTTCGTTACCGTGCTAGTTCTTGAAAATTAATGGCTAGATTTCAATGAAACTTCTTTATCAAGAGGAGATGAGATTATCGATGAGGTTACCGGGTTCGACCATTAGACCCAGAGTTATTAACCCTGATTAGTTAAAATAATATACCAGGAAGTATTTTCGTTTTCAGGCTTTTTCTTGAAAAACTATTGGCTAAATTTAAGTGAAATATGATGTTGTACTGTGAAAAAAGAACCGTGAAAATAACAAGACGTAATAACCATAAAAGCATATAAGAAACAGAAAATCTGTTCATTTCAGTAAAATATCGTTTGTTATTTCATATTTGAAATCTTTAATCTTAAAAATTAAGAGAAGTCGTCAAATTATCAATTTACTGTTAGGCACGATTGGTCTTTGAATCTGAAAAAAATTACCGTGCAATATCATTGCACAAACTTGAATGTACTAAGTGCTAGAAACTGAACGCTTTTTTTTATTTTTCTTACAATTATTCAAGCTTGAGGAATGCCAACTATATCATATCTTATACACATCTTTTCAACACCTTTGCATTTATATAGCAGTGTGGCTGATTTGGTACGCTTTTGTGCGTCTAGTTGGCGCTAGCGGCACCACAACAAAGAGCCAAACGGCGCGATGTCGGACTTTCGTCTCAAGATTATGATGTACATTGGAAATCTGTTTTGCAAAATTTCATATTTATTTAACTGATCACTTCCATTTTTTAAGAATTATCATTTTGACTGTGTAAAATGACCTGAAATTGAATAATGTTTAAACAGTTGTAACTGAAACCATGCTAAGACTCACATCTCATTGTTATTTTTTGTATATATTTCTGTTTTTAAGTGTCCTAGTTAATCTTTGTTAAAATTTTTAAGAGAAATAATTGCTTTAAGATTTTGTTTCATTTCTGAAGGATTATTCCTACAACAGTGTTGACAAAGTTTTTCTTGTAAAAATTGTGTGTTTTATATATGACTGTGGATGATTCTTGCCATCATATGTAGTCTATATTGTTATCATATTGTTTATTACAGTACATGTATACATAGTCACAAATATGATCCGTTATGTTTAGTTATATTTTATAACGAATATCTTAAGGCGTTGTCTAAAGCTTTATATCCGCTGCAACTTATATTGTTTGAATGTAAAATAGAGAATTTATCCATTTTTGTATGGCGCATGCACGAGCTAATTGCTAAACTTAAAATAGCAGAATATTTTGTTCAGGAACAGTATATTCTCTTTACGTACAATATTCATGAGACATCCTATGTAACAACGCTTTTTAAAATCGACCTTAAGATAATGGAAGCAATATAATTTTAATGTTGATAAATTTTATAAAAAAAGATAGTTCGTAAGATATAACTTTATAATAGAAAAATTACGAATTAGACAAATGATTTGCAATTTCAAAATTTAATTTATTTGTAATTAAAAAATGACCAGACTGTTTCATGATTAGATAATAATCTAACATTTTAAGAAGAATATCTGGGAAAAAGTGTTAAATCTAAAATACTTTTTTATAAACAATTAGACTGGCTAAATATACGAGTATACCAGTAAATGGACCAGTTGTTGTTTTAGGTTTTATTTATACTGGGCGCCGGTTTCCCATATGTCCCAGACTAGTCGGCCTCTATTACGATTGCTGGTCGAAGAGCCTGCAACGGAGGACTTATTCGCCTGCAACGTCGTCGATGTCGTAGAGCCGCGACGGAGGTCTTTTCATGCTGTCGTTTGTCGTAGACCTTCTCTAGGACCCAAATCCTCGCTTCTTGAACAATGATTGACAATAGAGGAAAGGCACCTCTTCCGGGAGCAGCAGCTCTCTTTAGGGCCACACCCCTCGCCGTTGGTTAGGTCATACCAGCTAAGTGACCTAACTAGGTCACCCATCTGGTGTGACCTATGCCTTCCGAGCGACGTGCACGCCGCGAAGGGAAGTCGGAAGTCAGTGTAGACAGAGTGTAGATAATAGCTTTCACACCTTATGGTATTATTTGTGCACACACACACTAATTTTCACCCAGTTGATTTGTTATCATAGTTGGCATAAATTTATGTAAGTACATCATGACTATGTACAGTTAAATTCATTCAGTGACATTCGACACTAGTGTATGAACATTGAACATAAAATGTCAACAACGTGAAAAATCTTGGAATTGTATGATTCTACCAAATCCTAAATACAATGTAAATTTCATACTTTATATTAAATGAGTTTTCAGTAATGTTAAATATGAACAAAACTATAATTTTCTAACACAAGTTTTGCAATAGAATATTAAGACTCTTTAAATGTTAATTTTTACTGATATTTGACAGACTTAAATGCCTTGTTATTGTTATTGTTACTGTACTGTTAACTGTTATAGTTATTTTACTGATACCGTTCTGTTATTGTTCCTGTAACCAACTGTTATAATTTCTGTTACTGTTCCTGTTCTGTTATAGTTATTTATACTGTTCTGTTATTGTTCCTACTTTCTGTTATTTACTGTTACTGTTCTTTTACTGTTCCTATTTTGTTATTGCTATTTACTGTAACTGTTCTGTTACAGTTCCTGTTCTGTTATAGTAATTTACTGTTCCTGTTCTGTTACTGTTCCAGTTTTGTTAAAGTTATTTTCTGTTACTATTCTGTTATAGTTATTTACTGTTACTGTTCTGTTATAATCATTAACTGTTACTGTTCTGTTATAGTCACTGATCTGTTACTGTTCCTGTTCTGTTATTTATTTTACTGTTACTTTTTTCTGTTACTGTTCATGTTCTATTCTACTAACTGATCTCTTACTGTTCCTGCTCTGTTATAGTAATTTACTGCTACTGTTCCTGTTTTGTTATAGATATTTACTTTTACTGTTCTGTTATTGTTACTGTTCCTGTTCTGTTATAGTTATTTACTGTTTCTGTTCTGTTATAGTTCCTATTTAGTTATAGTTATTAACTGTTAATGTTCTGTTATAGTTATTCGCTGTTACTGTTCCTGTTCTGTTATAGTTATTTACTGTTACTGTTCTGTTTCTGTTATTTTATAGGTTTTTTCTGTTACTGTTCTTGTTCTGTTAAAGTTATTCAATGTTATTGTTCTTTTACAGTTCCTGTTCTGTTCCTGTTCCGTTATAGTTATAACCTGTTTGTGTTCTGTTATAATTCCTGTTTTGTTATACTTTTTACTGTTAATGTTCGGTTACAGTTATTTACTGTTACTGTTCATGTTCTGTTATAGTTATTCACTGTTAGTATTTCGTAATAGCTATTCACTGTTTCTGTTCCTGTTCCGTTAAAGTTATTCACTGTTCTGTTCTTTTACAGTTCCTGTTCTGTTCCTGTTTTGTTATAGTTATTTATTGTTCCTGTTTTGTTGTAGTTATTAATTGTTAATGTTCAGTTACAGTTATTCACTGTTACTGTTCTGTTACTGTTCATGTTTTGTTCTAGTTATTCACTGTTATTGTTCTGTTATAGTTATTCACTGTTACTGTTCAAGTTCTGTTAAAGTTTTCACTGTTACTGTTCTTTTACAGTTCCTGTTCTGTTACTGTTCCTGTTTTCTTATAGCTATTTACTTTACTGTTCTGTTATAGTTATTCACTGTTATTGTTTTGTTAATGTTCTGTTATAGTTATTCACTAATCCTGTTCTGTTATAGTTATTCACTGTAAGTGTTCTGTTATAGTCATTCTGTTTTTGTTCCTGTTTTGTTATAGTTGTTATAGTTATTTAC